GAAAAAAACAGAAAATCTTTCTGTCGATACTCATTCAATATATTTATTTTGTTTGAAAAAATGCATCATAAAAACATTTATATAATTGGAGCGCCATTTTTAAAGAGTTTTTTGAGTCATTGAAGTTTCGATCCTTTTTCTTCCCTTAAAAAGTAAGAGTTTTAAAAAATTGGTTCTGTACTGCACTGTATCCTCACATGCTCTTTCAAACCAAAAAACATTAAATCTCTAGAATCAATCTGGATAGAGAAATTTGATTTGCTAAATGAGCTATTCTTGACTGTTGTTTGGTCAATATCTCCCTCAAACGTCATGATTAGAGCTGTTAGCCTGACCTGATCCGTCCGTATAATTTCCAGCCTGGTCTACAGACCAGGCAAGGCTAAAATTAGTGACCTGGGTATAATGTGATGCTAATTTTTCTAAAAGTTGACTTGAAAATGTGATGGCACTACAAATTGATGTGTTTGTCATCGAAGTTGTATTGCAAGTTTTGCATCAACGAACAGACGAACCTGTTTAGATTCTGAATGATTGAATAATATGCTTTTCATTTGTGTCGTTGTAAAACTAGCTGGTCAAATATAAGTTTTCTCTTTGCTATGATCATTTCTTTTTTATTTTCTACATTTTCCTTGTATATTCTCTTTGAACTCTTCTTTCTTTGTCTTATCATATGTTGTTTTTATTACGATTAATCACCGAGTGAACCTAAACGATTGCAAAATCGAGTCATTTGCAAATATTAAGAAATTCCTATTAACTCGGTCTAAAGATTATCACATAATCAAAGTAAGCATCCTGTATGTCAGTGCTATGTCCATTGTATTGAACGTAATAAAATGTTAGGAAGATTTGTTTATTTTTCACTACAGCTTCAACATATCCTGAAAATTTCATGTCATTTGAACGTTCCTGGATTGAGATCGATTTTTGAGGAAGACCTTAAAATCAGATTTTTTTGTCGTTTTTTTTACATGGGTACTTAAGGATGATAAAACAATTCGCTGGATACTGATGATAAAAAAAAGCTCTCTAAAGAGAATGCAATTTCAGAAGACTTACGTTTGCTTGCTGTATTAGTGCGAAATATTTTGTGATCACGATAAGAATAACACTAATATACTGTCGTAGTTCTATGAAAGAAATAAAAGTATTACGTTGTTTGTATATACATCACTAGATAAGTTTGGCTTGTGCGCATTCATCCGTTTATGTTAAATCATTCACGACCACATGTTATTGAGACACCTTTCTTTCCATAGAAATATTACTTTTGTTCTGCTTGTTCTATCATCACCGATCGAACAGCTTAAAGGACGGCAGGAGAGAGTGAATCAAAGGTTAGACAAAATGTGCACTATACCATGACTTAGGGGTGTCAATTTATATTTACTTTCAATTTAATCTATGCACAAATTAAATTATCAGTAATTCAAATCTAAAATAAATATAAATTATTATTCCTTCATCATTTATTTTTAAATATAAATTGTTTGTACTTTATTTAGAATTGACTAAATTATAAATGAAATTAAATTATTCGATTTCTTTTTCATATTTCATTCCAGTCAGACAAACAAGAGAAAAAACATGTAAAAACGCATTGAAATTTTAACGAAAAATGAATCGTAAAAAAGTGTACATTTCTATGTATTCACAATGTGTTAAATCTTCCGAACAAATATATGTTCATTCGAAAATCTAATGGATTATGAACGCGTCTACATGTGCACTTTTTGTGATTTTATTTTCGTTAAAATTTCAACGCTTTGTTTTTCTTTGTTCCTCTAGCTGGGATGAAATATGAAAAAGAATAGAATAGTTTAATTTAATTTATAATTTCATAAATTATAAATTAAGTTCAAGCAGTTTATATTTAAAATAGTATAAACTACTGATAATTTATATTTATTTTAAATTAACAGGAAAATGACACCACTACTATGGCTTCACTTGGTTTTTTTCCATTGTCGCACAGGATCAACAAAATATTAGGCCTTCCCAATCATGTAAGGGAAGTTAGCAGCCGATTCGATTTTTTCAGGATCATTGGTTCCATTCACTGAGCCACTTCAGCAATATTGTGAACGAGATATAACTCTACGAGTTCGATTGAATGATCAACTCAGTTTTTTTGACGAACGCTACTCGACAAACATGAAAGTTAAAAAATCCACTATTTACTATAGAAAATATGCAGAAAAAAAAGAATTTTCTACAATGATTTGCTTCACAAACTGAACTATTCGTGAACCTTGGCTCAATCAATGCAATTTGAGAAGCTCTATCAGATGGGGTCGGTTTCATCCGATTGAAAGCAATAAGACTTTGGTCTATATTCCTGAAACAGCTAAAACAGTATTCTAAGTGAAGATTTTATGTCAAGATTTGCTCCACAATGTAAGCCAATCGAAAAAACTCGTTTAGTTGCATTTAATCAACTAAGTTTCATTAGTGGCTGAGGCTATGGAATGAATGGTTATTGTAAAGAACAGTCTAGAACCTGGTTTTCGTATTGCAGCTATTCTAACCATGGGTACTTTGGATCTAATGATCTGACATATACATCATTCGATAGAGCTCAGCGAGCAGCATCGAATGAGTAATGTTTCAGCAGTGTCTCAGGTCGTGGAGCGGATTGTCTCAAGGAAATAATGTCTCAGAACCCGGATTTTCGTGCTCCAGGAATTCTGATCAAAGCTGTGTTGTTTTCAATCGGATGAAACCGATACCATCTGATAGAGCTTCTCAAACTGTATTGATTGAGTTAAAATTCATAAGTGATGCAGTTTGTGGAGCAAATCGTCGTAGAAAATTCTTTTTTTTTGCATTTATCCTACAGTAAATAGTAGATGTTTTAGCTTTCATGTTTTTCGAGTAGCTTTCGTCACAGAAACTGAGGTCATCATTCGATCGAACTCGTGGAGCTATATATCGTTCACAATATTCCTAAAGTGACTCAGTAAATGGAATCAATGATTGTGAAAAAAAATCGAATCGGCTGCTAACTTCCGTGACATTTACAAGCGATAGTTTAACTGTAGTCTTCATTCTGTAAATTTTATTATTAGAGATTTTCCATTGAGATTGCTGCCCAGAGAACAGAAGATCTTTTCTCTTGAAACCTTTACTAAAGTTGAAAAGATCTCATAGAAAAAAAAAGTTAATGTTTATTATATCTGAACGGAAAAATTGTTTCCGTCACATATGACATACACTTCAAAGAAGAAGGAGTCTTTCTTTGGACACGAAGTTCCTTCTTGCAATTATGTCAATTTTAAATCTTCATTGATATTTTATTCATATTTTAGATGGATGCATGAAATCAACAACAAACGTTCCACATTTTATTGAATTTTCTAATAAGGATAATACGCACTGTCGAAATTTGCGTGATTTGAATAGAAATATGAGCGAATAGACCATTCATATTTATAAAAGATTGTTAGAAAATCTGTTGTTTTCTTTTAAAAAATAAGATACATTTCGATCGGAAAGGAAAGAGATTTTTTCGATGTAGATAATGATCGGCATTTCGCTTTTTCTCCCACTGTAATTTGACATAAGACTGTAAGTGTTGCCGTTAATTCCCGATAGTCTAAACAAAAAGAAAGAGCTCTTTATTCGATGTACACATCACTGAACAAGTTCAAAATTTTTCCATATATTGCCAACAATGTCTTTCTCTACAGAGAAATTACAAACTCAATAAACTGTTTCTCTAGTTTGTTTTGTTCTTCCTTTGTCTATTAATTTATGGACCTAGGACTCTGTCTCATTTGCACGTACATTATTCGTCTCTGAATGTCTTTTTCCTTTCCCTAGCCCATTTTTTCTTTCAGTGCTGTTTCTTGTCATTTACTCTTTTTAAACGTTACCGTTTTGGTTTAAATTATCAACGGGTATTTTCATGTAAAGGCAAAATAGCATCAACTTTGGTAGTAGTAGATTATTTTACGGCGAAATATAAAGTAATTATATGAATATGCAAGAATTTATATTGGTCTCTAGACAGCGAAATTGAATATAATATATTATGTGTGTAAAATTGGTTGCATAGAATTTTGCTTTTCTCTAAAAAGAAAAAACACAATTAAAATAAGCATTATTTTGTAGATTGTGTAGAGCTTTTCATGCCGCATCTTGTGATATATTTTGTTTTTTTTTCTAATAAAATGTACTTAGACATAATAATATGAGGTGCAAAGTGCATCCATTTATAATGCGTTCTCGTTCTTTTTTGTCCAAGCATAGAAAAAACACGTTTATGAAGATCAATCATTTTCACAACAGATGTTCAATCGAAAAATCTCAAATTAATGGCGTAAATAGAGAGTAAGATACGCTACGTAACAGATTGAAAAAAAAACATTATTCCAGTTGGTTTTACAGATATGTTTTAGCTTTAAACATTTTGTCCAAAAACTTTTCGGCCACCCGTTAAGATGAATAAAAACGATTTCATTTGCTTCTTTCATTCTTCAAGTGTCACTTGTTCAATACAACACATTATTCATTAGTTTATTTTTCTACAAATAACAACATCATCCAAAACAGAATGTATATATTCTATTAATTTTTTTGTTTATTCTATTACACAAAGTCAGGTAATAATATTACTGTACTTCGACCTGACATATTACGATCAGTGCAAATATTCGAGAGATAACATTAAACTCAAAGTTTTGTTTGAATTTTTGATTATTTTTTAATGCATAAAATAAAGACTACACATTTCCTTTGGAATGAGTAATAAAGACGAAAAATTTTTCGTCATGTTATTGACTCTTTGACATTAAAGAGAACATTCTTCATTCATATTAAATCAACTAAGAAAAAGGTGTCGTTGATATTTTTGCAAAGATAAAAACAAGAAGAGTGAAAGTCAGAAGTCAACAAAAAAAAAAAAAAAAAAGAAAAGATAATAGAAGTTTGTATCTTACATGATGATATGTTTGTGTTGTTAGATTTCTTTTCTTTTGATACCTGTAGACGAAATGACTGGACGAAAGAAAGTTTTACTAAAATTTATTCTTTTGGGTATGTGATTTTAATTAATTAATTAATTATTAAATGTAGAATTTTAATTGAATAGGTGATAGTGGTGTTGGAAAAACGAGTTTAATGAGTCAATTTGTTTCACAGAAATTTTTCATCGATTATAAAGCAACAATAGGTGCAAATTTTTTAACTAAGGAAGTACAAATTGATAATTATCTTGTAACAATGCAGGTGCGTATGTTTGTTAAAAAAAGATGAAATTTTTTAAAAATATTTTTCTATAGATTTGGGATACAGCTGGACAAGAACGTTTTCAAAGTTTAAGCATTTCTTATTATCGTGGAGCCGATTGTTGTATACTTGTTTACGATGTTACATCAACGAGTTCATTTGCTGCGTTAAATCATTGGCGGGACGAATTTCTCATTGTACGTTTTAAGATTTATGGTTAATATAATTCAGCAAATTTTTCTCAGTAGCAAGCTGCACCTCGTGATCCAGACAATTTTCCATTTGTGGTTTGTAGATTTTTTTTAGCAAAGCTTCTGCGTATTTGTGTATATATTTAGGTTATTGGTAATAAAGTCGATCTTAATGATCGTGTGGTTTGTTTGAAAAAATTTGTTTGTGTTGTTGTATTATTTATTTAATTTATTTAGGTTCAAACACGTCAAGTACAAAGTTGGTGTTCAGGTATGTAAAAAATAAATTAATATAAAACCTTTCGTAAGGTTTATCTTCTAGATATATTAAATGTATCCTATTTTGAAACATCAGCTAAACGAGGTAACAATATTGAAAAAGCGTTTGAAACAGCTGTACATAATGCATTAGCACGTAGCAAAGATATTGATCCAACATCGGACGCTGAAACATCTATTAAACTTCCCGAAAATAATCGATCAATACTACCAAGTAGATGCCCATGTTAAATGACAAACAAAGAAAAGAATTATTAACAATTACAAAATTCTACAACATTTAATTTATATTCTTTTGTCTTGTTTTTTTATAATAACATTTTTATATAAAAACAGAGATTTATAAGATATTACTATTCATATTGATTTTGTTCTTAGTCTAACTTGATGACAGATGCAATATAGATGATAATTTCAATGATGTCAATCTCTCTTTTTGCATTATCATAAAATAATTGATATTACATTCATATGATTTCATCTATAATCTAATTTAAGATTTGAGGTCATTTTCAATCATTCATATATTTAGATTTCTTAAAACAGAGGTCTTATAGAAAAATTGTCAAAAGGCATAATATTTTAGCGAAATATTTACATCTTCTTTACATAAAATAGATTTTTGTAAAATTTTTAAATAACTCTAGGGATGAAATAGTAATCGAACTAGAAGTAAACTTGTATATGTTCATATGAATAGTTATCTGATGGTCACATATTTTTCAAGCGTTCGGCTTCCTAAAATGTTTTCAAGTTGTAAAGCAATCTACAACTATTACACAAGAGTGAATATTAAAATTATTGAACATGAAAATTATCGATCAACAATGATTTTACTTAACTAGTTTGTTGTTCTCTTTGAGAATCATTTCTTTTTATCTCGACAAACGTGATAGTCGAAAGACTGTGGGTGTGCGTTTGGATGGAAGAAGAGAAGATTCTTACCCAAAACCAAAAGAACTATGACCATGTCGTTATCGTCCACCAAGTTCTCGGAAAAGGACGCCGTAAATGACCATAAATGCAAGAAGAGAAAAGCGAGACTTACTCTACTACTCCAAAAAAATTCGAGTGCAGTGGAATCTAGCTAGAGTACAACTTCGTGTATGTCAAATCATGCAACTAGCATCTCAAAAGATTTAAATCCAATTTCATTACCTAGATAATCAGCATTGAACCCTGATTATTTTTCAAAAGTTTATTGTTTATCTTATGACAATTCCATTTCTCATACCTGGAGGTTCTCCTCAGGTATCGAAAAAACTTTTTATCACTACTCTATTATAAATTTTTCTAGTTTGATAGCACTATTTGTGCTGATTATAAATATCATATTATTCTTCAAAAGTACGCCGATAATAAGAAAGATTTGAAGCACTCTCTAGAAGCCGTAAAAACCAGTTTTTGTCCAGAAAGTTTATCAAAATTCGAAGTAGGTTAATCAAAAATAAGCTTATTTGATAGAGAATGAAATTCTCTATTAGAATCTATAAAGTATTAGACATTCGAATATTTTTCCTATCGATAAGTATCAAATATCGTTCCAAGTGGGTCGTATTGGCACAAATAATGATTTTTCGAGTCTTTGAAGTTATAGTGTTTCCAGCTTGTGCCACCAAAATTTTTTTACTAAATATATAATTTCGAATTTTTTCTGTGACTTTCATTTTTTCATCAATTGTAGCCTCTCCTGGTCGTTCTCAGGGACGGATGAATAAATGAACTTTATCAAAAAATATAGTCCAGGACAAAAGTTTAAGTGAAATTAGTTTTTCACTATTTTTTTCACATTTCTTTTTCAGTATATTTTTTTCATATTATGAGGTATGGGTCTGATTCAAATAGTGATCTAGATGGTATGAGAGGCCAGCTACATGATGTATTATAGAACGAGACTCCGTCTACCTATATGAATATTTCATAATAAAAAAAATTTTTTTCTATGGAAAAACCGCATTAGATATCTTCCAGTATTTCGCATTCCCTAACCAAGAGATTTATGCTAAAATAAAAGAAAATTATATCAATCGATAGAGTATTTCACGCTCTATCAGTTTATAAAAAATTGAGCTTTTTCTGGAGTCGATCTCCATCTCTCAAACTTGATTTTAGTGAGAATAGTCAGCACTTTTCTCCTATCAAAATAATTAAGAAAGAACAGCTAGTTGTGTTTTGCAAAACTTTATTTCAATAAGGTGGCGTGAAAAATCAGTGATATTCGAACTTTAAATATAACATTTTGTTCAGTTTTGAATGTTCTTTTCAATGATGCATAAAACATTGTGATAAGAGTGAGTTTGTAGGAGGCAATTTCACGTTTTCCGTTTTGCTTACTATTCTCACTAAAACCAAGTTTGAGAGATAAAGATCGACTCCAGAAAAAAATCTTTTTGCTATAAACTGATAGAGCGTGAAATGCTCTGTTGACTGATATAATTTTCTTTTATTTTAGCATAAATCTCTTGGTTAGGGAATGCGAAATACTGAAAGGTACCTAATACTGTTTTTTCATAGAAAAAAAATTTTTTTTGTTATAAAATATTCATATAGGTAGATGGAGTCTCGTTCTATAATACATCATGTAGCTGGCCTCTCATACCATCTACATCACTATTTGAATCAGATCCATACCTCATAATATGAAAAAAAATATACTGAAAAAGAAATGTGAAAAAAATAGTGAAAAACTAATTTCACTTAAACTTTTGTCCTGGACTGTACACTCAGTAACATTAACGATTCAATAACTATGACGAGTTTTAGACCAACATTTCTTTGTTAAAGTACAGCGATATCTTTCAGAAAAGAGTTAGCAAATATCATAGGACAAACGTTGCCTATATACTAATTATTTAATGAGTCTCCATTGGAAGTGTCCTGAACCTAAAATATAATTAGGTTTCTGTTGCTGACAAGAATATTTATTCTTTATTGATTCAGACAATTCGAACAACAAGAATTTCAGAGTGTTTCGAATAGCAAATAAAAAGTACTTATTTCCTATGACTTGGAGTGAACTATGAGAAAATAATGTGCTAGAATTGAGATGGCGGGATTTAGTATTGTATAGCTGTGAGTTCCGTTGCTACTAAATCATATAAAATACTGACCCAATGGCTTTACATTTATTTATCTTCTTATTTTATTCATTAAAGAAAGAGTTCATGTCATTCAGATCGGTCGAACACTGTCGCTTCACCATAGTCAACCGACAGTTAATTTCGGCTAATCTTCAGTAATCACAGTTAGTGGACGGTTAACGACAATTAACTACGGTCAAACAACAGTTCTTTATCACTACCCGTCACCCTTCTTTCACTCCATAAGTACGATATATCTACTCATATCACAAAAATTGAACCGGAAACACTGCGGTGAACCGCCAGTTTCCACTACACGGATGATTTATTTCATAAACTTTTACTTGCATTTCGATCAGTTGTTGGACCAAATCTAAATAAAAAACAATAATTTAATTTTTTATAAATAGCTGAACAAAACCGTCGGTTAACTGAGGTTAATCCGTGGTGTTCACAAAAAAAAGATATCATGAGTTCTAATGCATCTCTTGCAACATTTAAAAGAGCGTTATCTTGTGCGAGACTGAAGACAATATCAAAAGTCTACAAAAAACAAGCGTTCATAAGAACAAGATATTGGTTATATCTTTTCACGCCAAAACAAGAGAAAATTTATTATTATTGAAAATGAATATTTATGCTGTTGTCAAATACATTAGCAGCTAAGAATTTTAGATAAATTTTATGACTTCTACCAAAAGCAGCATTTTAATAATTCACTTGCAATGCAATAAATATCGAAGATATAATTTCAATCATGAAATATCAACAATATTTTTAACGATGAAATTTTTCACGTTAATCTATTCCTAACAGATTTTGCACATTGATATTTACAAACCATTTCAAAAGAAAAAGGATTGAAATTAAAAAGTGTTCTTGTTAAATTTTATCATATGTGATAATAGTTTTTCCACTGCAGTGTAAATATATATTTTTACTATGAAGTATTTCAAAGTTTTATGAATTTTTTTTTCCCATTGTATTGACATTGGTTTACACAAAACATATTGAACTATTGATAAAAATTTCTATGCATAATTCTTTTCATAAAATTCCATGAGAAAGAATTCCAAAACAATTGATTTAGGACAGAACTGGAAAAGCACCAAATTTTGTTATGTAAACAGTATGTTTTTTTACAATAACAATTCGAAAATTCTATTCTTATTTGTCTGCCTAAGTTCAATTTGAACAGATCAACTCTAATTTACCATTTAATACTCAATGAAGAGAAGATTTATACTAACACTTAGTTTTAATTCTTATTTGACAATCTCTAATAGTTCTAACTGAATTTGGAAAAAGTATTATCAAGTAAGAAAATATATATCTGTTTTCACAGTTATTATCAGATAAGTTTCATAATCATGGTATTATCTATGTCTATCAAGAAGAATAAAACAGAACTTGGGATTTTAAAGATTCGAGAAATTTTTACAAATTTTTAGACGTTGTAATGCAATTTTCTATACTAATGCCTGAATGGTACACCATCGCATTAGTGATCGGATCTAAAAAGAAAACTACAAATCATCCAAGTGTCAACCTAAACATCTAAAAATCAGTAAAGAAAAATGATTGTCTACTAAAAATCTTTTTCACATAGTATAATAGAGCTTTCAGTATATCTAATATAGTCATTTCTAAATTGAAAATATGTTCGATTTTTTAAAAAAATATTTTAACAAGTCAGAATCATGAAATTTTCGAAAGTTTTTTTTTTTTTCAGTCAAAATTCCTCTTTTTCTTATTGGTATTTAGTATTTATTATAAAATAAAACAAAACAAAACATTCAGCATCATATCAATACAATAGATATAACAGAAAATAAAAATATTTAATCATTGAAATTAAGAGTTTGTTGAGTCTGTTGAACAAGAGAATCGATTGTATCTGTATACCATTGAAAATCATATGCTTCAGCTAACGCTTCATTGATAGCAAATAAACATCGAATAAGATTAGAAAGACATATAACAGATCGTTCAAAATTATATTTATAGAGTAAATATCGCCATAGTAATTCAATATATTTATTTTGAATATCTAAAATTTTTTTTATTTTTGATAAATTTTCTAAAGGAGTATTTGAATAAATCGTACATCTGATTGTGGAAAAAGAAATAATGGCAAGAAATAATTTCATAGTTATCATATCAAAATCCATTCGCTTTGCTATACGCTTATTAGCAGCTGCTGCATTTGGATTGCCAATAAGTTCAATAGTAGTATAAAAAGCAGGACAATTGAATAATCCAATTTGATAATGAATAGAATTTGCAGACAAACTTGATGTATATATAAATGTACTATGAAGCAAAATAGAACGATCATATTCAGATAAAGAGAGAAAATCTTGATTATTTTTGTATATTGATTGACTTGTATCTAATAAAATTTGAAAAAATTCGATCATCGATGCAGATTTAAAGCGTAATTTAAGAGGTAAAAGATTTTGTTCACGTATGTAATGTTCACCTAGTAATATTCCACTATATTCATCATAACAATGTGATAAATTTGAAATAAGATTCCATTGATCGATAGCTAATGTTGATTGATCTGATCGTAAGAGATTTAAAGTTGGAAACTAAATATTGAAAAACAAAATTATGAAAATTAAAAAAATTCTTCAATTCTCTTTCAATACATAATTTAAATATAACGGGTGGTGCAAAAGTTTTGCATTAATTTTGTTTTTGATATAACTCTGCGATACATTGTTATAGAGACTTGATGTTTTTTTTTGTTAGAAAGAGCAAAGTGTCTAGTGCAAAAATACATAAAAGAATTTGATTGGAAATATTTTTCGAAGATCAAAAAAATCTAAGAACAAAGGACGCCGAAAAACGCTTCTGCAACTTTTTTGAACTTTGAAAAAATTTCATATAATTTAGACAAGTTACCTTTTTATTCGTCTAATCCAAATTTTATTATTTAAGGATAGAGTAGTATTGCTGTACACAAAAGAGAAATTCTCTACATGTTGTATAACGGGTGAAATGAACGCTTTTATGAGATCGTCTGAGTCACCGATTTTTCATCATTGTTGATAGTCGTCGAAAAAATAAACTCTATTCCGAGAGAGAGGTTGCCAGAATCTATATATTTTATAGAAACAAGATAGCTTATTGAGTTCTCTACCAAACCATATTATTTTCAATAGAACGCAGCTTCTCTGTGATATATTCAGACAAAAATTTGTGTTCACGTTGAAAAGCCAAATTTGTACAATGAACTTTTTTTAACCAAACTGTCTTCTGTTCATCCTTTTGTATGTTATATTAATTATTTTAATACTAAAAGAAAAGCTTCATTGTAGCCAACAACTGTATATATACGGTGTTTGAAAGCGTCGAAACTGGGTAATGAAAAAGGTTAAACAAATATTTTTGGATAAACAAAATGTGACCAAAGTTGCAAAAGAGTTTTCCGGCGCCTTTTGTTCTAAGAGTTTTTTGATCTTCGAAAAACATTTCCAATCAAATTCTTTTATGTATTTTTGCACTAGACACTTTGCTCTTTCTAACAAAAAAAAACATCAAGTCTCTATGACAATGTATCGCAGAGTTATATCAAAAACAAAATTAATGCAAAACTTTTGCACCACCCGTTATTTATTATGAATATATATCATCTGATAATAGTTCAAGGCATTTTTTAGAAATTATGTTAATCATAAAGAAATCAATGGATATATAAGTAATAACAATATCTAATAGAATTTTAAATCAAATATTAGCATTCATAAAGAATTTATTCTATTTACTTCACTCCAAATTAAGGATGAACCTGCTGCCCTCAGAAAGTCAATTTTTCTTAGAAAATTTGATTTTCCAAAAAGCGCTTATTCTTATAGTCCTGAGTGTTCTCTTTCAGAATATGTATAAATTATATATGAATGGAACATATTTAACCCAGCTTTGGCGCTTATTCGAAAGTCAAATACGATAATAGACTATTTGAAAGTTTTTTCGTTAGTTACTGAGAACTACATATTATCATTTGTTCACATTTCTCGACATTCTAAAGTAATCTTCATATCGATTAATCATGTTCTGAACTTGTTTTGATGGTTTTGAAACACCACTAATTCTGGAAAAGGTGGCACTACAGTAAACTTGAATTCAGAAATTTATTCTATTTTTTGTAGCAAATACCATAGAATGGAAGAACGTTTTGCGTGCTTTCCAACGATGTATAGTATGTTGCAAATTTCTACACAGACACATTGCAAATTACTTCACAATATTATTATTCGTTTTTCTCAACTTTGCTTTTTTTTTATCGTTTCCTGACCACTTCAAAACATTTTCTCGATCCATCTTTTAATGTATATTGCTGATTTTCTATTTATTCGAAAGATCAAACTTTTCTTTATAAATCACTGAAACAGATTTCTAAAACATACATCCGTTGTTCAGATATAGGAAAATCTTGGAAAGAACTCAAAACAGTTTTCATGATTCTCAGTTCAAAATGACCACTACATTTCAATGAAAACGAATTTCAAAAAACTGTTCCTTCATTTTGAAATAAGTCTCCCTATTATCCATGCTACTGGGCATTGGGAAAATGTTTCGAACCAAAAGCTCTGTTTTTGGAACTACATTCGATATAACTCCTCAATTATGTGGAATGATTAGTTCAAATTTTTATCATATGCTACTAATATCTCTTTTTCTATTTCCTGAAATTTTCATCGACATCCGTTGCACCATTTAGAAGATAGATTTCTGAGGAGGATTTCTCTTAAGATGAAAATTCTAGACAAAAAAAAACATCTTCTCTCTTAATATTAAATTTAGATGTCAGGAGATTCGAATTGAAGTAATTTATCTATTCAGTTTTATTCGATAGATTTTCGCTTATTAAACTCGATTAAAATGAGCATCAATAAATAGTGATGAATCCTGGTTTTTTTTTTGAAAGATCTTGTTCTTACGAGTTTTGATAGACAGATAGTACAATATTAATATCATTAGAAAACAAATTCGTTTCTTTTATCATTTCAAGAGGAAATTTTCAGCTCTAAAAAATGAAACACAGATTTTTATGAAGAAGAAACCTTCAAGTATTTATTTAGTTCTTGCATCTTTCATATCTTGGAGAAGGGACTGTCCTCAAACTTTCAGAAATTTTCACCAAGTCATTCTTGAAAAAATGTTACCTTTACATATGAAATTTGAACGTAATTATCATTTTTTGTATTGTAAACAGAGTTGAGAAAAATAATCAATCAGACTTAATTCATATAGGTAATGATGATAATTGAATAATCTCACCTGTTCAGGTTGATTTAATCTAACTAAAGTTGTTGATGTTTTCGTTTGTATTGTATCCATTATTAATTTTCTTTTTTTCTTTGTTTTATTCTTTTTTCGGATAGATGATCGAATCATTTCAGTTTGCATTCCACTTTCAAGACATTTTACAAGTCGACAATAAGAACATACATGACGAGTATTTATATTTATTTGACAATTACCATCAAAATGGCATTTAAATGCTTTCTAAAAAAACATCAACGAATCTATATAGTTGAAAGAAAATATTTTTTTAACTGACCGGTCCTCGTTCAGCATTTCGCTTGAAAAATACTTTGCATGCGTCACACGAAATGACACCGAAATACGAATATTTAGCTGTATCTCCACAAGTTTTACATTCAATTGACTTTGTTGTTGATTGTCGTTTATTCTCTTTTGAATTATTCGAAGATGATTTTTCCATCATCACAATATGTTTTTATTAAATATAAAAAAATAAATCAATAATATTAAATTTACTATTTTTAACAGAAATTATGAAGAAAAAAAACAACGACAAATGATAAAAATATTGTAAACAACATAAACTATTTTCTTTCGAATAGTTCTCTTTTTTTGTGTACTCAAAAAGTGAGTACACTCTAGAATCGGTCAGTATGTCCGTCCGTCCGTCCGGCCGGCCGGCCGGCCGTTAACACGATAACTTTTGAAAGGAGAGTCCAATCGCGATGAAATTTTCTGCACAGTTCAGTCTTAACAATGTCTCGGTCGAGTTCGAAGATGAGAATGATTGGCCGAACCATTGCTGAGTTATTGCAAAAATAGTCATTTTTCCCTATGAGAAGATAGACCCTTCTCTGTTTTCATAAAAAACTTTTCCTATCATAGTCAGATAAAACCCCAACTATTATATACCATTCGATAGAGAATTTCACGAGCTACAAAATGGTATATAAAACATAAAGAAACAAGAAAGCTAACTCGCCTATTGCAAAGATAATTAATCGGAATTCGGTTCTGTTTTTGTCCACGCTCTATATGATCCACAATTAGAGTTCTATCTTCCCATCACAGAGATGATAGTTCGAGGTTTTCTAGAATGGAGAACTCGAATCTATGTTCCATTCGCCTCGAAATCCCATTGGTTGAGCAGTGACCAATAGAAATCAAGTTATAGGAAAAACGAGTTTCTTAGGGTAAATCAAGGTGAAGAGTTCAAATCTGAGCTGTATTTGCCTCCAAATCGTATTGGCTGAGCAATAGCCAATAGAAATTAAGTGTTTACAGAAAGGGTTTACCAGGACAATTTTGATGTTCACACATTCTAGGGTGACTCCTCTGTCTGATTCACTTTTTGAAGTACACATAACTCTCGGATTTAAATCCGAGGTTTCCACATTTATTATTATATGAATTGTGCTGTTAACTATGCAGTTCTATACTAATCTACAGGTTGATGTGAATGACTCACTTTCATCATTTCTACAACGAATCCACTGGTGCGCTTGTTCAAGTCATTTTATAATTGAGTCTATTAAACAAATAATTGCACAAAAAAATTAAATATACTTTACAATATTGTTATATAATATTTTTATTGTGATCATGTTTTCTTTTTTAATTTTTTTTATAGTGTTCACTAACGACATCATGAGTATTGTTATAGTTTCATTGGTTCTGTGATAAAAATGAAAATGTATTATTCAATGTTCGAAATATTCTATATTGATTGATATCGCAATGTATTTTTATTCTTTGACGTCCGAAAATTGAGGTTCATCTTGCTAGCGAAAGTAAATATTTGATTTTCTTAAGAGAATATTGAATGATGTTTTACATTTATTTCTTGATGATTAAATTAATTTTATGATTGGCACTTATTAATTGATTGTAAATTTTAAACTAAATAAAAAGGAAAGACAAATGTTTTCTTTTCGCTTTTCAAAGATCTTCAATTATTCGACATGTGTGAACTTTTAATATACAACATGAATTCATACTCTAAAGAAAGTATACAACTTTAGAGAATTCGCAACATCGCATATTGATGAGAATATTTAATTAAAATAGAAACAAACAAAATCAAATCGTTCTATTATTAGAATTCATATTTGGTATTGGAAAGAGTCACGCTAACAACAGTAAACTATGAATATTAGTAGCCGATTGCAGGAGAAGTATATTCTTTCTTTCCATCAGTACAAACTAGTTGAGCATTAGATAAATTTATTATAGACCTTAATATATCACTTTTGGTCGATACTGAAGTGACACCTAGGGCCATTCTTTAAATATCAATATCTTCAGATGATAATATGAATGAAGCAGCATTAGTTATTCCGCCTGCTTTAAATACAAGTACTACTCATCGGAAGGAATGTGATTCATAATGGTTTCTTTGACTTCTATATTTGAAAGAAACGAAATGAGAATGCTATTTTCGAGATTGATGATAATAACAGAATTATTATTCAAGATTCATTCATGTTATCATCTGCTCGCTCTATATCTTCACCTATGCTTTTAAGTGATAATGAATGTTTAAATAATTCATTTAGTCAAATAGATGCTAGTTGATTAAAATTAAAAAGTACAAGAAAGTTAAATTCACGATACATTTTAAATAAAAGAAAGATTAGTTATCATTTTAATCACTCATACAGGTGATCTAAAGTTCTGACTTAGACTGCAAAATCGGACTTCGTCGGGTTTGCTTTTGAAGATTTTTTTTCTGAATTCAATATAAGAATTATATCACTAAAACAGGCAAATCTTTTTAGTCTTACATAATAGCAAGTTTATTCTTCATATGTTAAGTGATTAACAAAAGCCAATGAGAAAAAAAGCCTGACTTCAGTACTTTAAAGTAAGCGTTCTAGGAATTTCGCTTCGTCTTCTCCTCCTGGCAAAAGTACACTTCTTTTAAGGTTCATAAAAAATATTCAAGAAAAGAAAATATTAGAAACGTTCTTATCAATAAGTAGCAGTAAAAGTATATATGATAATCAAAAAAACACAGAGTTTCTCAGAGTGATAGTCGGATTACGAAGTCAAAAAGTTTGAACTAGATTCGTATACCTATTTATCGCCATAATTCATCGAACATTGAAATCATTTTCCAATTACAGAATGTCTTGAAGATCTTTTAAAATCATCAATAGATGAGCTTAGTACTTGGCTAAAGGAACAAGTACAAGATAAACTTACTTCATTTAATAATGTTAAAGACAAATTAAGAAATATTATCAGTATCTGTCTTTCGGAAAAACTAGCTGAAAAAAAACTTAAGAAATGATTGGATACAGCAATAATTACAATAACATTCTTGAGGCCAGTTTCGGTTTGGACATGTTGCTGAACGTTATGGAACATATGTTGGTCTTAATAATATCGATTATTATTGTCAAAATATTTCTTCATCATCATTAACTTCTACCTTGTCACAATCAAATACTTTCTTCTGCTAATTATGATGATCATATAGAAAATAGCCAAAAAAAGAATTTATGTCTTACATTATTCACAACAATAATCACACATTACGTGAAAATATTCATTTAATTCAAGCTTTCAATAAAGAATCTGAAATGATATCTAATTTAACATCTACTAGTTTCATTGAAAAGTATTATTCATACAAAGTTTTAAGTCAAAACTAAAAAGTTAACTTTCAACGTGACCTGAGGGAAAGTATGGAATTTTGTTGAAAAATTCGATATCATAAGAATGAAGGTCTGGAAAATCAAATCATTCTAGGCTTTTTCAACGCTTGCCAGTACCCATCGAATGAATATAGTCCAAAGCCAGAAATGATTTAGCACCCGGAGATGTTTCCTCTCGAGTTATCAAAATTTCCCTGTGAAGAGTCCAAATTTAGAAACTATCTATGGGTTAAATTCAGAACAAAAACAATTGTCGTCATAGTTTAAAAATTCATGTATTTGAGCTTGTATTGTCTATTGGAAATAATTGGAAGCCTAGTCGACCTAAGAGATAAGTATTTATTATACAAATCTCTCAGAACCGATCTACATGACAGGTTATATATACGATGTCGTATCTCAATAAAAGTTTAAGTGGGCATCTTTGGGTATCCATCCAAGATCGATGACAACATGCACTATCAGATAATAAATTCAAATTCAAATAAAAGCTCTGGCGGAAGAATGGTATTATTTCTTAGTGTATTACGAGAAGGTTTTTGGCCCTATTGGAACAGAAGGAACCTCAGGCTGTCTGAAAGATCTGTAGAGTAGCTTTAATGCTAGCTACGATATAGGTTCAGATCTTACAAATCGATTTTGTCGCCTGGCTGTCCTCTGTGTGTGGGTGTAAGTAGACATGTACCAAACCCTAACTCAAGTTCGAGCTTCAAATTCAAGTCTATTTTTCGTGTCGAGCTCAATCTCATCAAACTTAAACGGTTTTGATTTGATCCATGTCTAAATATTAGTATCTTTATGAATTCTTTATTGCAACCCATGGCTTCTTTAAAATATTTTCTAAATAAAAAAAAAAACATAAGAAAGATTTCTAAATATATGTTCACATATTGATTCTCGTTTGTT